CTAAATACAAAGAAGAATTCTTATCTCTTGTAGAAGAACGAAATGAACTGATTGAACAACAAACAATTTCTTTAATAGAACAGTAAGACTTCGTAGTCGACTCACACTCAATTTATAAGTTAGACCAAATGAGTAAAAGAACTCTTCAAATAGTTCAGTTTCTGGAATGTTTCTAAGTGTTAAATCATTTTTTTTTCAGTCGGAAAAAAGACAGATTATCATTTTTCGAATAACTTTTGATAGGAACGAGATAGAGAGCTGCAGTTTTCACCATTCGAAAGAGCGATGTCTGGACTATCGATCAGTTTAGAAGTCATTAAGAGGAAAGATGCTGGTTTTTTAGGTACCTTTGGATCAACACTTTTTTCTTTGAGTATTTTCACAATAATCTCAATTGAAACTATGTCAAAATGTAGTTCAAATCACCTTTTTTCGCTATAAAATTAATGTTTGTTTTTCTTGAATGCTCTCAGAATAAGAGATAATGAAATATGTGGCAACTTTACAGCGAAAAAAGGGTGATATGAGTTACATCTTGACATAATTTGAGTTGAGATTATTGTGAAAATACTCAAAGGAAAAAGTGTTGATCCAAAAGTACCTAAAAAACCAACATCTTTCGTCTTAATGAGGTCTATACTGATCGATGGCTCAGACATCACTCTTTTGAATGGTGAAAATTGCAGCTCTCTATCTCGTTCCTATCAAAAGTTATTCGAAAAATGGTAACCTACCATTTATTTTGAATCGGATAACAGATTTCAATGAGCTATAAATATTCTGAAAAAAAGAATTCGGGCTAATAGCTTATTACTGGCGAGATACCGTATTTTTTCGGTAGTCTTTCTCTCAGGATAACTAAGTTTCGAATTTTGATTTTAAACTCTCCACAGCGATAGGCTTTAACGAAAATAACTTATTGTGGAGATTTTCGATTAGGAGTACGAAGTTATTGTTATCAGACAGTTACATTACCAGGTAACGAAATATTCGTTGATTTGATCTTTCCACTAAAGAAAGGCTATTTCTGCAAAGTAACGATTTTTTTTTTATAAAGTTTGATCAAAGGTCTTCAGGGTAGCAGCAAATTAATCGAGAAAATCAAGTACACAATTTCGAGAAATCGATCACAGATTCGGATTTCCCGATTCCAAAAGCCTTCGATCCATAGATGCCCATCGTGGTTGAGAATCTACCGCTGACGCGATAGCATTATAAAGACCTCTCCTGCACCGCGATGGCTTTTGAAAAAATCTGCTTCGATCAAACTTTATAAAACAATCGTTGTTTTCTCAAACTTACCTTTCTTTAGTAAAACAAATCAAATCAGTAAATTTTCTGTTACCAACTACTTGGTAATGTTACGGTAATTTCGTTCTCCTATTTTCGATTGTGCCTGTTCTGACATAAAAATTTTACTATAGTCGTATCTTAGGATAGGACAATGAAAGGATTTGAAACTTTTACAATACATAGTTCATTTCAACCTATATGTTGCACATAGCCTCAATTCAAAAGCGATTTAATACTTAGAAATGTTTGCTCGTGAGCTGTTCAAAAAACTTTCTTCCGTTTTGGAAACAATATTTTATTAACAGAACAAAAGCATTTCTTATATCAGAACAAGAACTAATTTTATCGACCTCGAATGAAACTTTAATCATAATGATTGATTTCTATTTCTTTTAAAATAATAAATTTTAGTCAACGTGAAATTGAACAATTGAAAAAAGACAATGATCAAATACGTGAAAAATCAACTGAGTATAAACATATAGAAATTCAAACAGATGAAGAGTAAGTCAATACAATATTCTCGATAATAAATTTTTTTGTTTTTAGTATTAAAGCTTTGTATGAAATAATTAAACAACAATCTGAAGAACTTAGTATATTAAATGAAAAAAATTCGAATCTTGTATCTCAACATGAACTCAATCGAGAGAAAAAAATAGATAATGAAACTCAAACAGACGATCGTCAACGTGAAAAATTACTTCAAATGAATAATAAATTAAAACGAGCATTACAAATAATAAAAGATAAAATTCATCGAATTGTAAATGAAAAACCAGATCTATTCAATGGCATTGGTGAAGAAACAAATGAACGTCTTGATCATTTGATTTCTATCGTAGAAAATCAAACAACACAAATTGATCTCATACAAACTGAACATCAACAACAAATCAAAGAACTTCAAAAGTAAATAACAGAAAAATGTTACTATCAAATTAAGCAATATCTTATCTTTAAATATTCTAGTTCGTTACTTACATGTCAATTTGAGCTTGATAATGAACGTCAACAACATGTTTTAGCTGCTTCATCTACTGAAGATATCAGGTTGAATAAACTCGATGATCTTAAAAGCTTTCGTTTGAAATCTGTTTTACTTTTTAGTCCATCGATCATTGAAGATTATCAAATAAAAATTGAACAACTTGAAAAAACTCTTATTGAAAAAGAAAATGAACAAATATTACTTCATGAACGTCTTAATGAAATCGAACTTGAACTAAGAAAAATATTAGATGATCAAAATTCGACATTGATGAAATATGAATTACTTGTACAAGAACGAGATCTACTTATTGAACAACAAACACTTCATTCAACTGAAAGGTAAAAATTTTCTTAAATATTTATCGCATGTATTTTAATTTGACAAAGTTTAGTCAACGTGAAATTGAACAATTAAAAAAGGAATTACTCGAACTCAAACAATCACCTGATTATCAACATATTGAAACTCAAACAGATGATCGTCAACATGAAAAATTACTTCAAATTAATAATAAATTAAAACGTATAATACAAACATTTAAAGAAAAAATTCATCGTCTTGTTATTGAAAAACCAAATCTATTTGATGGAATTAGTGAAGAAACAAATGAACGTCTTGATCATTTAATTTCAATTGTAGAAAATCAAACAATACAAATTAATCTCATACAAAATCAACGTGATGAATTAGAAAAACAACTTCGAAATGAAATCAAAGAACTTGAAAGGTGAAGAATAAAA